CAGGCAGCGGCGGTCCTGCGCGGCGGCGGGGGCGAGCTCCGGGCGGCGGCGCGGGCTGGCGGCGCCCGCCCGGCCCAGATCTGGGCCCTTCGGGCTCCATCTAGGTCAGGGCGGGCCGGCGACAGGCGTGGCGGCTGCGTGGCCTCCAGGAGGCGGTGGTGAGCAGCAATGATCGGCAGGGGCTGGCGGCGTCGACGCCAGCTTGCTGCAGCGTGGCCGGCGGGGCTTAGCGGGCCCGTTTTGGGCCTGGCCGGGCCGGGGTGGCCTGGTATGCCCCGCTGCCGTGTCCGGACGGCTACCGCGACGGTGCCGGAGGCGCGGGCCTTCCGCACGATGGCGGTGGAGGTGGTTCCCTCCCGCTCGGCCTTGATGCTGCTGCTCCCGTCGCTCAGATCTTCTCTCCGCTCTTCTTGGCCTCGTGGTGGTGTTCGCAGCGAGACGGTGTTGGTGACGGCGCAACCGTCGTGGCGCATAGTTGGGCGGTGGTTTGGCTGGTCGGCTCCGATTGGCTGGTGGGGTTTGGCATGCGGGAGAAATCCTCGCCGGTTCGTCCGGCTCCGATGCGGTGACACCAGCGGGTGCCACTATCCCTTCTTGGAGGGCGTCGGGAGTAGCTATCCCCCACCTCCCTCCGCGTATTGGGAGAAACCCAAGGACTTGTTCGGGCAGCAGCGTCGTCGGCGTCGCATCCCTTCTTGGAGGTGCTGCTTAGTTCGCGGAAGTTCGGAGCCTTGGGCTGTAGTGGTTTGTTTCCGGAGGGCGCAGCGGTCGCGGGTCATCCGCGCTTTGTTGAGCTGCCGTTGTTGGCATTTTTTCTTCTTCCTTTTCTTTGGGCCTGTTGTGCTGCTCGCCTCAGCATTGTGTTATGTACTTTGGTGGTTTGCTTTGAAATACAAAGCGGGGAAAACCCTTTTTCGGTAAACTATTCGACGTTAATACGTTGCTCCCCTTTTGATGTGGCTTTAGCCCTGGTCGTAGAAGCACAAATGTCATTCCTATAATATATACCGTCTAGTTGCCATAAGAATCTTTTGGGGCCGTATCCACATTAAGCAGTTGTCCTTCCCTTTTCAAATATATGCCCTCCGTGAACTTTTATAAGACGTGTTTTAGGTAACCATGCCACAAAGACAAGGACAACTAAGAAAAAGGTGCAGATACCTAACGAACCCTTGAAAAAAGTATAGATAATACTCCCTCCGTCCCCAAATTCTTGTCTTAGATTTGTGTAGATACGGATGTATCTAACACTAAAATGTAACTAGATACGCCCGTATTTAGACAAATCTAAGACAAAATTTTTGGGACGGAGGGAGTACATAGTTGTGCAATTTTTTAGTAAAACATATGTAAGAAGTACTCCCTCCGTTTACTATTATAAGATGTTTTAACATTTTTTTTGAATCAGATGTGTATAGATGCATTTTAGCATGTTTCTTCACTTATTTCAGTCCGTATATAGTATGTATTAAAATATCCAAACCATATTGAAATAGTGAACGGAGGGAGTATTTCTTTTAGCAGGGAGACTTTTGATACCGAAAATGGAATGCACCAAGGGTATCACATACTCCCTCCGTTCGGAATTACTCGTCCAAGAAATAAATGTATCTAGATGTATTTTAGTTGTAGATACATCCATTTTTATTCACTTTTGTGACAAGTAATTTCAAACAGAGAGAGTATGTTTTATCTTTTTATTTCGCCGTTTTGAAGTTAAAAATCGGAAACCATATGCTTCCAGTCTACATACTCCCTCTGTATAGAAATATAAGAGCAAACAACAGGCCCATGCTCAAAACATAAAAAATACAAACACATGCAAATTCAGACGGCACGGCAAACGACAATCCCAAGCTCATAGTGTCACGTAGCATATGTTCCTATTTGAGTATTGTCAGTCTACAGTCAAATTTATCAGAAATTTTGAAATCTCCTGAAGAATTGCCGCACCATGCATGCGTTGTCAAAATTTATACTGTATCTGCTTTGACATGGCTGAATTACTGAACCGAACGCAGGGCATGATCCTGCTGACGCTGTCAGTCACCGTGCCGGCGCTGAAACCGCCGGCGTGCGACGGCGCCACCTGCCCGCGCGCCTCCGCGCTGCAGCTGGGCGTCTACTTCGGCGGGCTGTACACCATCGCGCTGGGCCACGGCGGTACCAAGCCCAACATCTCCACCATCGGCGCCGACCAGTTCGACGACTTCGACCCGGCGGAGAAGCTGCACAAGCTCTCCTTCTTCAACTGGTGGATGTTCACCATCTTCCTGGGCATCCTCTTCTCCAGCACCGTCCTCGTCTACCTCCAGGACAACGTCAGCTGGACGGTCGGCTACGGCATCCCCACGCTGGGGCTACTGGTCCCCGTCGCCATCTTCCTTGCTGGCACGCCGCTGTACCGCCACAAGGCGCCACAGGGCAGTCCGTTCACGAGCATGGGAAGGGTTGTCGCGGCGGCCGTGTGGAAGCGCGGCATGGCGCTGCCCGACGACGCCAAGGAGCTCCACGAGCTAGAGCTGGAGCACTACACGAGCAGGAGGAGGTTCCGCATGGACGCCACCGACTCCATGAGGTTCCTCAACAAGGCGGCGGTCAAGGTAAATCCCGGGGACGCCAACGGCGGGTCGGCGCCGGCCCGGCTTCCCCCGTGGACTCTGTGCACGGTGACGCATGTGGAGGAGACGAAGCAGATCGCTAAGCTTGTGCCGCTGCTGTTCACCTTGGTCGTCCCGTGCACGCTCGTCGCGCAGGCGAACACGCTCTTCGTCAAGCAGGGCGCGACGCTGGACCGGCGCCTGGGCGCGTTCCTGGTGCCCCCGGCGAGCCTCGGCGCGTTCATCACGCTTACCATGCTCATCTGCGTCGCGCTCTACGACCGCGTCTTCGTGCCCGCCGTCCGGAGGCGCACCAAGAACCCGAGGGGGATCACGCTGCTTCAGCGGATCGGGGCCGGGATGCTGCTCCAGGTGGTGACCATGGTGGTCACGGCAGGGATCGAGAACCGGAGGCTGAGCTTCGTGAGGGGCCATGGACCTGACGCCGCTGGCGTGCTTCCCCTGACCATCTTCGTGCTGCTGCCGCAGTTCGTGCTCTTGGGCGCCGCCGACGCGCTCCTGGTAGTGGGGCAGGTGGAGTTCTTCTATGACCAGGCGCCGGAGAGCATGAAGAGCCTTGGCACGGCGCTGTCCCTCGTAGCCTATGGCGCCGGAAACGTGCTCAGCAGCGCCATCCTCTCCCTGGTCGGGCGTGTTACTGCGAAGAGGGAGAGCCCGTGGGTGACCAACAATCTCAATGCCTCGCGGCTCGACTACTACTACGCGCTCCTCACCGTGCTCGCCGCGGTGAACTTGTCGGTGTTCCTTGCGCTGAGCGGAAGGTACAAGTACCGATCGGAGTCGAGGGAGACGATTGATGTCGACGTGCAGGGCGGCCCGGTTAGGCTTCATTCAGAGCCAGCGCCAGTGGCATGAAAAAAATTGGATGTTTCGGCCTGTATATAATTAGCTAATGAACAGTAGAATGTCGATGAAGTGGTCCGTTCTGTTAACGATATATACTCATTACTGAAGCGATGCAAAAATAATATACTCATTACTGAAATCATCATGTATCTCAAATAATAGAAGGGCGACCCGAGGGGAAACCCTAGCCGCCGCTCCTCGCACTCTCCTCCGCCCCTCTCCCTCCTCGCCGCCGTCCGCAACGCCGCCGGGCGAAGCCTGGCAAGCTGGGCGGCGGCGGGGCTTCTTCCCATCCATCTCGTTCTGGCTGGCGCGGGACAATGGGGACTAGAGGAGTGCCGGGCTAACGTGGGGTTCGGCGGCGCGGCGGCGGGTCTCCCGCCGACGTCGTGAGCGGCTCGGTGGTCGCGGGCTCTGCAATGTCGCGAGGTGGTGTCTGCGTTCGAACTGCCCGATGGTCGCGGGTGCCGCCGGATCTGGATCAGATCCATCTGGATCTTGGCTTCGGACTCCGTCGGCCGCCGCGGGGTGATGTTGGTCGTCACGTGTCTGGAGGTCTACAACGGGTTCTTCTCGATCCTCCTTTCCGGTGGGTCGAGCTCCATGGATCTTCCATCTTCACAGGTTTTGGATCGTGGCTTGTCACCGGATCCGAAGCAGGCCGAGGCTTGGTGGCATAGGATGGGGACCGAAGGAAACTTTGGATGGCTAGGCCGGCCCGGCATCGGCGACGTCACTCAACGCCGTTATCCTCCGTGGAGGCGAAGCCGAGGTCTCTCCTATCCACCTCCGAACCCATCCCGGACGAAAGTCCAAAATCCATTCTGGATTGGGCGGCGGCGGCGTCCTACGCGTCGTATCCTCCATGGAGGCGCCGTCTTGGGAGGATCTGCTGTTCGGGGGAGAGATGATGTGGATGGTGGGCTCCGAGTATCTCCAGCAGTGGCGACGGTGTGGAGGTTGCCGGGTGGTGCGGCGTTCTATCTTCCGCGCCGATGTCGATGTTTTGGCGGCATGGTGCGGCTGCATATCGATGATGGATGCGGCTGGATGGACGAGCGCAGGATGGTGGAGCTGTCTGGTGCCATGGTGGCGTCGACGGCAGCGAGACCGGGCAAGGTTGATGCTGCAGTATAGTTCTGAAGATGGATTGGTGGCAGGTAGCTGTGGCGGCCTCATACCCGGCTGGCGTCCTGGTTGAGGAGCACGCCGGACTGGTGGGTGCCCATACCCAGCAGGCGTCCTGGTTGGGGCCTCGGGTCTTAGATGTTAGGTTTGGTTGCGAGGTCTGTTGGGTAGTAGACCTAGACTATCTGCGCCCCTTCATCAACTGGATAGGTGTAGCGACAAATGTTGCTTAGACGGTGACTTTAGTCTTATTGTTGTACAACTTTGTAAGGTCTTGTGTCAATAATTAATAAAATGTCCGTATGCATTGTCGAGATGCAGAGGCCGGGGGTCTTCCTCCATTTCAAAAAAAATCTCAAATGACTGCGAGTGTGTGAGTAGACTAAACATATTACAGTTTATCAAATTCACATCTAAATGTTTTCTAAAGATGTCACATCTAAACTCCCACAAATAACACAGCAACAAGGAATAAAAAAATACGGCAAAAAAATAAACCATAAATATAATGGACACAAGGTTAGATGTGACATAATTATGTCACATCTATATGTGTCCTAAACAGACCCAACATATAAATACATACGATTAGATAGACACAGCTAATTGAACATACACTGAAACATTAAAAAGGACATACATTGAAACGGCGGCAAACATATTTTATGGTTCAACATCGATCGTGTCTAAAATATACCTTACATCCACCGTATTTTAGATTTTAGTAGAACTCAATTTGAAGGGCTTTTGTATTTTATATTGTTAGTTGGAAGGAAGAGATTGCATGCATCGATAATTCATTGATCGTATGCATGATGTACATATATAGATATAGGATGGATCCGCCTCTACTTGTCTCTCAAGATGTACAAATATACAAGGGGGAGAGAGAGATACAACGGTATAAATACATACCCAAGTCCTATACATATGCAATGGACAACGTACGCTCAACACCCCCCGCAGTCGAAGCGTAGCCGGCAACACAGAGACTGGACCGAAACTCCTCAAAGACTGGGGTCGGTAGTCCCTTAGTCATAACATCGGCAAACTGCTGAGTGGTAGGAACATGTAGAACACGAACCTGCCCAAGTGCCACCTACTCGCGAACGAAGTGAATATCGAGCTGGACGAACTCTTGGTGACGGATGGCTCCTCCTTCCTTTCTCCCTCCCCTCCCTTCCCCTCCTTCTCCTCCCCGCCTCGGCAGATCTGCTCCCCGCCCTTCCCCGGTGGCCGGCGTCCGGTCGCCCTCACCTTCATGCGTAGCTCCCCTCCCCCTATCCTCTCCTGTTTCCCCGCAGGTGGATCTCTCCCCTTCTCTCTCTGCGCTGCCGGTTCTTGGATCTCGTTTTTGGGCGCTGCTGTCGGATGAGGAGGATCCGCGGTCTCTACCTTCCTCCCCCGGTGGTGCGGTGACCTGCTCTGGGGAGGTGGGGGTCACCTGCGCCGCCCCTCGCCCTCGTAAGTTTGCCCCCGGGGGTCGGGGCCGGCAGTTGGGGGTGCCTCCGTCGGCCGACGGCTGGCTCCGGGTCTCGCGACGTCGGCGTAGATCTGGTAAGCTTGCGTTCGCGTCCCCTGCGCCTGGTGTCTGGGGTCATGCTCCTGATGGGGAGCTTGGAGGCTCTCCATCTCCCTTTCCGTCTCCGGCGGCGGGGGCTCTGTCGCCGGCGGCGGCGGCGGTGGGGCCGCTGGTCGCTACGTGTACCCTAGATCCAGATCCCTGTGTAGTGGCCGCCGGTTCGCGGGCCTTCTCCCCGTGTGGGCCTGCTGGGCCTGTTGGGGCGGTGCTGGCTAGTGGGCCTCCCCCTCCCCCCTCCCTCTCTTCGGTTATCGAATTCCCCCCGCTTGTTTCTCTTGGCCCAGTTGGGTCCACCGCCCGGTTACCGGCTCCCCGTCCC